CCAAATCATCTTTAAAAAAATGTAATTAGGCCAACTAACAATATGCTTTTACAGTAAACATTAAATCTCTCAAAGCACATGGGCCGGTTACCACCAACTCCATGTGCATGGATAACCAACTTCCTACTACTCTCGTCTGAATTCAACATCATTGTACCTGGCACTGTCCTCAGATGCCGTGTCCCCTACTTGTTTGTTCCTACCAATAAGTCCTGCAATCAATTTCATACAGGTAATCATACTTCCCTTTCTTCCTAATTTGGTTAGACAACCTCAATCACATTTATTTTCCCTCAGACCCTGGATTCTTTCCTTCCTTATTTATCGATCATACTTTGATTTTAATACCCTTAATTTTATGCTGCAATGACTGTCTACCTGTGCACATGGACTTGGGATCCCTTAATTATCATGCGCCATTCTGAGTTTTATGATCAACTTCAAGTGAGAACAACGTATTTAGTTTCAACAAAAGTCACTCCTATGATCATCAATATTGACCTCCCATGAAATACTAGAACATACATAAACTCAACTAATGGTTGTTCAATAAAATGAAAATCACTTAGATATATCCGAGTTGTGTCTAGAACAGATACCCTCAGCTTCAAACCTATAGGTTAAAGAGTGGTTGGTTGAACTCAGAAAACAAGAATTGGAAACTCAATTTTTTACATCCCTGTATAGCCAACTTTGCAACTTATCATGCAGATATGGTATACCCGGGCCCAAGGTTTTTTTACATCAATGCACCCTAGCACTGAATACTACCACGGAATACTCAAGCCTCTTCCTCTGAATTCACAATATCTAGTTCAATTATTTTTCCAGTGCCCTACTTCCAATTGTCTTCCCACCAAGTTTGCTCCTGCTCTATTTTCTTTCTTTTTGGATCCAGTGGTTTGTTTCTTTGTAGTAGAGATGTATCTTGTTCTACAGTAGACAGTTTCCTGAGGAATGATGGTTGAATGTTTAAAGTAAATGGAAAGAAAAATTAAAAATCTGACAGTGAGTGGAAAATGTATGATTTACCTCTTCTCTGAGCCAATTATTTGTTGAGCAGACATTACAGATGCTCCATTTGCAAATGTTGAAGACATTTTCTCTGTAATTACAAAGTAAGAATCAGTGACAGGATATTGCATAAATTTGCAACCAGCATGAGCAGAGAGGTTTCTAATCCAACACCTGTAACTGCATTAAGAAATCTTATCCCTTGGGAGTGTCTATTTGTTGTCACCTTATCTCCATTTCTGCTCATTCAAGTACAGTTCAAACTAATCAGTTCTTTCTTTATTTTGTTCTACTTTCAAATGGACTTGTAGTTGCAGACATACAATCTACACAATCAACTACATACCTTAGTGCCTTTTTAAGTCCATCCACCGACAATATTTTAACTGGCTGCGTGGGCTTTTTCAAGTTTGTCCTATCAGTTAGAGGATCAACCATATATATTCCTTCTGATCTAAGAGGATTTCTAAATGCTGTTCTCAAGTTCCTGTAAGATTAGAAAAAAAAATTGTCACTCATGAGAATAGAAAAGAATGAAGTGAGCAATTTAATTTGACATGGATCATTGATCACCTACCCTCCCATTAGCTCAGTTCGCTTTGTGGAAAATTTTTCTGTTGCTTTCTACAGAACACAACAGAAAAGAGTTACCTAGAGTTGATTTACTTCCAACTCTTAAGATATTGGTTAAACAAAATAAAGATAAAGTAATGTCATGCATGCCTACCGATTTGTGATATTGGCAGTACACACCTTGACGTCTGAAATAAAAGAATGGGTCAGAAATTAAAATATATAGGAATAAATTACATAGACAAGCACGCAAAGCAAACTAGATAATGCAGAGCCTCATTCAGTTGATTAGGAAGTTGTTTAACTAGCTGCTTGACAAAACATAAGACTTTGCATCTGATGAGAAAACAAAAGAATGATATGAAATACCTTCAAAAACATACTAAAGAAGGAATTAAGTCATGAATCCACACCTAATTTGTATCCAAGATTCTCTCAATAAGAATTCACTTTCTTGACTTCTTGCTTAACCAATAATTCATCAATCCACATTGCAAACATCTAGCACAAACCAGACTCCTCTGACTTGAACCTACCAACTAGAACTTTACAAGTGTCAAGCATTTCGTGTTCTTCTAACATGGCAGTTACACTATGCACTGCAAGCAAACAGCAAACAAGGTAATAACTGATATTGCAGGTAAGTTTAAAATATAGATTGTTGATGACGCAAGCATAAGTGGAGAGATCATACTCATTTGCTAGGAAAGCTTAATAGCATCATTCTAATCATTTTCCTTTTCAGCTTATTTACCAGTAATAAAGTGCCTATAATGCCTGAACTAGATGCAGTGGAAGCTTGTGACTCTTATAAAACTGAAAGTTAATCGTTTAATATATACCAGTTAGTACAGAATAGATGTTTCTCTCAATCCCATTTCTTAATCAGATGGAGTACATGACAGCCATTGTGAAAAGACAGTTAATAAAACCAAAGAACCTTAGGGAAGACATGTAGCATACTTATTTATGACTAGCGTGCAAGCCATTCCATCTTTTCTTTTTCCCTTGCAAACTCCATAGTCAGCTGAAGTACCAATCTTTAGAATTTGGTTAGGTGCACCTACACTCAAGGAAAATCCTGATCCCTACAAAATGATACAGAAGTTATTAGTTTCTTTAGAAGACTACCCAACATGGGCCAATTAACATGTGACAAGTTGATACCTTGGCATCTTTGCGTACTGAGCAACTGAACAATGCAAAAACTGTTCCAGCCTGCTCCTTGCAGTAATGCTTATAAGCGTCACCAAACAAGAAAAGAGAAACAGCATTTTCATCTAAACACCCAATTTTCCATATGCTATAGTTCTGCCCAATAGAACTAGTCTTTGGATTACCCTTTTCCGTCAACACTCCCAAAGTTGCCCAACATCCATAAAGAGTGTCTCCCACCAACAAATTCCTGTAAAAAGCCAAAATACCCTGTCACCTACCACATTGCAGTTTATATCCAACGAAGCTACATTGAGAGCTTTGCAAGCTGTATTCTAGGTAAGAACAAACTTGAAGGGAACTTAACGTCCAAAGGCAAGAAAACATCTTCCAAATTTTAATCATTTAGCAATGAAAACATATATTATAAGGAGAAGAAGTACAACAACATACTTTATAGCCGATAGCCGAACGAAACGAATATCAGACAAGCGCTCACTTAACTCTGCGGGGCTGACCAATTGATTCCTTAAAACAGAAGAAAAACTTAAACTACACATGAAAAAAGAAATACTAACAGAAAACTGTCAAAGTCATTTCCATTTAGTACACTTAGTTTGTTCGCAGAGAAAATAGGCATAAAAAAATAAATGAAGCTTTTTAGCTCAGGTTTTAACACTGTTAGATTATTGTTGAAGAATTGGAGTTGAACTTGGTTTTACCTTATACGTAAACCTGAAAACTTCTCAACTTGAAGATCTTTTGAGCTCATTGGCTTTGAATTGACAGGTTTATCAACTTGTTTGGGTTCATAATCAAGGCAATCTTCAACAACATTCTTAAAGACAGACAAGTCTGTTTTCCCTCTTTGCCTTGGCGGTCCATCGTCTGATAGGTAGCCTGCAAATTTAGGCCAGCTAAAATGAAAAAACTTAAACATTTCAAGATAAACAAGAAACAAAACAAAAAAGAAGAAACCGAGAGGTACCCATTATCCAATTTTAAAGCAAGAAAAATAAATAAGCAAAACCCAGGCACCAAAACTGCAAGTTAAAGGAAATTGGAAAATGCCGAGGCACAGACCCAGATGCATTAAGAGGTAAATAAAAGATGCCCAGAAGGGTTTTTCAATGAGCAAATCCAAAGCCAACACGGCCATTAGAAATTTTGAAAATTTTTCAGTGATGAGAAGGCGTGCATGGGCTTACCGGGAGAATGGGAGTGGGGACTTGAAGGGGAAGCTGGAGGCGTTTCCAAAACCCTGTCGTGGAGAGAGAGAAGGAGGTCCAGATCGTCTTCGTGGCTTGCCATCAGTAAGATCTTGTATAGCTAACAGAAACTTTCCAAGTAAAATAAACGATTACGAAGCTTACTTGTACTAGATGAAGATGAAATGATTGGGAAAAAAGGGTAGGAAAAAGAAAAATAGAGGGATTTTTGGAGGGAGTCTTGAAAGACGTTTTGGAGGGAACAAAAAAAAAAGGACGATTCGCGGGTCGCCCCAACTTATTTCATCCGAACCCAAAACGCAGCGTTTCAGTGCTTGACTACCCCTCTACAACTTTTTTTTTTTTTTTACAAATATTTCCTCCCCAAATTTCATAAATCCAATCTAAATTTCCTCCTCAACTTTTTCTTTTACAACTTAATTTTTTATAATAATTTAATATACGTACAAATTAATAAAATTACTTTTGTATCTAATTATACTTTCCAAAAGAAAGAGAAAACAAATTATATTCTTTTTATGTAATTATGAATTAAAAAATTTTTGATAATTATTTTCAAGTTCTTACAAAATATTATTTTTACTTCTTAACGAGATGTGATGCTTTGTGGTAGATTGAGGGTCTATACACGGCCAAACTATCAAATATAAATCCAAAACATTATTATTTTTTTTTTCAAAAAATATATATAAACCCCATTTTTTCAAGCCACGTGCGTTATTGAAATATTGCATGTGGCAAAAAACAAATTTCACGTGCAAAAAAAGAAGATGGTGGCGGGAAAATCGCAACAGATTAATGGTGTCTGGTTACCAAGTCTATTGACTTTGCCCGGTTCTCTCCGTCCAAATTGAAATTGTTCCAAGAATAGCAAATTTCCCCAAGAAAAAAGGGGAAATCTGTAGCGTTCAAAGGTTAAAAATAGTAATAGGACACAACTCGAATCCGCAATTTCATCCAATGCCTTACGTTCACCATGTCTTTCTCCTATATCATTGTCTTTCCAAGTACTTGTCATTTGAGCTTCCCGGGCACCTCTCCTTTAAGGTAGAGGCTCCCAAAGTCCGGCTCGATTATTTCTGGTTTCTACAATTCTTTTGTTCCTTTGGTCCAAGAATCCATTTCTGACGTTCAACCAAAAGAAAAGACAAAAACATAGGTTTTCTACTGAAATAGCAATGGCGGTATCAGGCCGTATTCTTTTAAGAATAAACCTTTTCATCTTGCTGGTTACTTCCAGCATTGCGCATGACAAGAAGGATCATGACGATGGGGATAACCATAAGGCTGAGAACAATGTCAACCAGGGCGTGGGCTATGATGGAAGGTCTGTGATCATCAATGGCAAAAGAGAGCTGCTTTTCTCGGGCTCCATTCATTACCCTCGCAGCACCCCAGATGTATGGTTTATATATATATATTCTCGTGTTTGATTAATTTCTCATGGACCTTTGATTTTATGTGTGTAGAACTAATTTGTTTTGTTGAATTGGGTTCAGACCTGGCCGGACCTCCTCACAAAAGCTAAATATGGAGGTCTGAACGTGATTCAGACGTATGTTTTCTGGAACGTTCATGAGCCGATTGAGGGTCAGTACAATTTTGAAGGGCAATATGACTTGGTGAAGTTCATCAAGTTGATTGCGCAGCATAAAATGTATGCGACCCTCCGGGTTGGCCCGTTTATTCAGGCTGAATGGAACCATGGGTAAAAAATTCAAACTTCCTATATTTATTTTCCTCAGACTCTCTCTCTCTCTCCATCTATCTGCGCCTAACAATGGAGTTTTTCCATTGTGAACTTCAGAGGATTACCATATTGGCTGAGAGAGGTCCCCAACATCACATTCCGCTCTGATAATGAACCATTCAAGGTAATATGTAATTCGACTTGGTGAAAGTTCTTCACCAATGATTCGAGATTTCAATTGAGTAAACTTTTATCCCGTGCAGCATTACATGAAAAAATTCGTTACGATGATTATTGATATGATGAAGAAGGAGAAGTTGTTTGCTTCACAAGGAGGCCCTATCGTTTTATCACAGGTTTGGTTGCTAATAACTCTTGTTCTCCTAAAAGCTTAAATCGACGCTATCATTTACTCTTAAGTTTGATACCTTATAAATTTCGATACTTCTTGTTGCAGATCGAGAACGAGTACAACACCATTCAACTAGCATTCAGAGAACGTGGAGACAGTTATGTTCAGTGGGCAGGAAAGATGGCCGTTGGCTTAAACACCGGAGTCCCATGGATCATGTGCAAGCAGAGGGATGCCCCAGATCCAATTGTAAGTTTACCTGATGATAACTTCTTTGATTTTTAAGTTTCTTTTGCTTTCAAGAGACCCAACATCATCATTTTGCATGGAAAATCCTTCAAAAATTTCTCCATCCCGGATAAAAAGATGGAAAACTTGTTTATTTTGTACAACAAAGTAGTAATATAGACTTCATCGTTCAGATTAATACATGCAATGGAAGACACTGCGGAGATACTTTCACAGGTCCAAATAGGCGCAACAAGCCTTCATTGTGGACTGAGAACTGGACTGCACAGTAAGTATGCTGTTACTGAAGATATTCACTCAAGAATTCTGAGTATATTGTGTGTAAAGGCTAATGCTGTGGCTGTTTCAATGCGTTTTAACAATTCAGGTATAGAGTATTCGGAGATCCTCCATCTCAAAGATCAGCTGAAGATTTGGCGTACTCGGTTGCTCGCTTCTTCTCCAAAAATGGATCTCTGGTCAACTACTACATGGTAGGAAGATACCCGTCTGTCTTCTCCGAGTTCAATTTTTATCTAAATGACACTCTTTTTAGAGGTAGCTCACGGTTCTTTTTGGTGTTTGCAGTACCATGGTGGTACAAATTACGGCAGAACAAGCGCAGCTTTTACAACAACTCGCTACTATGATGAAGCCCCTCTTGATGAATATGGTAAGATTAAGAATACTGTAATCTGATGATATTCTATGGATTGAGGTGCTGATCTAGACAGCTAATATCACTTGTTCTGAATGCTGTAGCTTTACAAAGGGACCCAAAATGGGGCCACCTCAAGGATCTTCACAAGGCCCTAAATTTGTGCAAGAAGGCTCTGTTTTGGGGGACTCCTACTGTCCAAAGGCTGGGTCCAGACCAAGAGGTAAGCATCTATATACAGAATAATCGAGTGGATGATGAAGTCAGAGAAGTTTTATATGGATACTAAGAGTTAAGCTATTGTGCTGCAATGCAGGTCCGAACCTACGAGCAACCTGGAACTTCTCTCTGTGCAGCTTTCTTGGCCAACAATGACACCAAGAACGCCCAAACATTCCATTTCAGGGGTAAGAAATATGGCCTGCCAGCTCGCTCCATTAGTATCCTCCCTGACTGCAAGACCGTGGTTTACAACACTCAGATGGTAAATTGCTGGTCTTTCTCCTCATTGCATGCTTCCAAACTGCCTTGTCTTTTCTTGCTGCTTTAGAACTAAATAACTTATCTTTCACAGATTACGGCACAACATAACACGAGAAATTTTGTTAGATCAGCAACTGCAAACAAGAACTTTAACTGGCAGATGTACAAGGAATATGTTCCAACCCAACTTGGATCTATGACCAAGGAACCATTGGAGCTTTATGAGTTGACCAAAGATACAACGGATTATGCTTGGTATACAACTAGGTAAGTACAAAACATATAACTCTTTGTAAAGAAAACAAAAGATAAGAACATTCAATTGATTTCATCCGTCGGACAAGGATTTTAAACGAAGGGATTATTAGAAAAGTTAACTGGCGTTTCTGCTTACTGCAGCATTGAATTGGGTCCACGTGACTTGCCAATGAAAAAGGAAATCTTCCCAGTTTTAAGGGTTGCAAGTCTTGGCCATGGACTGCTTGCTTTTGTAAATGGCAAATATATAGGTAAGTGTGCAGCGGCATGCATACACTTGAATTCCCAGTGACAGATTTATGTAGCTTCGATCGAGAACTTCTTTTTTTACAGTCATATATTACCAAATCTTGATTTTGTTTCTTAGGTTTTGCACATGGGAGCAAAGTTGAGAAGAGCTTTGTCTTCCAGAAACCTGTAAAGTTCGAGGCAGGGGTTAACCATATTACACTCTTAGGGACTTTAGTGGGACTTCCAGTAAGGCATTTGCAACTTAAGCTCTTTTTAGGCTTGAACGAAACTTAGTTAGAACAGCTACTGATTAGATTTTCTTTATTAATTAAGGATAGCGGAGCCTACATGGAGCATAGGTTTGCTGGGCCTCGTTCTATCACCATATTAGGTTTGAACACCGGAACACTTGACCTGTCAGTAAATGGCTGGGGACATCAGGTATCAGTAGACCTTCACTTTCTATAGTTAATTTTCATACAAATTACGGAATGATGGGTAATTGAACAGGGTTGGTCCCTATTTTCAGGTTGGACTGTATGGAGAAAAGAAGAAAATATATACCGAGGAAGGCTCAAAGAAGGTAGAGTGGAGGAAGCTTAGTGAATCACCAGCTTTAACATGGTACAAGGTAATTCCTAGGGAATTTTTATGTTAGGAATTGAAGGTGCTCTTTGAGAGTGAAATAAGGTTAACGCAAGCTGATCATCTGTCAAGTATGTTTTGCAACAACTGAAATGTTCTTGTTACACAGGGATACTTTGACACCCCAGAAGGAAACAACCCAGTTGCCATCCGGCTGACTGGTATGGGGAAAGGTATGGTCTGGATCAATGGTCAGAACATTGGCCGATATTGGATGTCTTACCTTTCTCCTCTAAAGCAGCCTTCTCAATCCGAGTACGTAAACCATTAGCACTGAACCATACCATATACCAGAAAGGAATCTTCATCAGTACAAACCAAACTAAAAGTCTTTTTCATTTTCTGTATCTAATTCAGGTACCAAATCCCAAGATCGTTCCTCAAGCCGACGCAGAATCTCATTGTTATATTGGAGGAGGAGGAAGCCAATCCGAAAGACGTTGAGATCCTGCTAGTTAATAGAGATACAATCTGCAGTTACGTAACCGAATATCATCCGCCATCGGTGAGGTTATTCGAAAGCAAAGGTGGCAGCTTGCGAGCCAAGGTGGATGATTTGAAACCAAAGGCTGAACTGACATGTCCGAACCAGAAAAAGATCGTGGCCGTAGAGTTTGCGAGCTTTGGTGATCCTTTTGGTGCCTGCGGAAGCTACTCCCTTGGAAATTGCACGTCCCCCGTATCCAAGAAAGTTGCAGAAAAGGTAAGTAGAGTTACGATTGGTGGTTATGGTTTACAAGGTTGAGCAGTTCTGACAGGAGATTGGGTGCTGTGTTTGTGTGTGAACAGTTTTGTCTGGGAAAAACCAGCTGCCAAATTCCATTGGACGCTGAGGATTTCGACAATCAAAACGATGCCTGTCCACATATGAAAAAGGCTCTTGCCGTCCAAGTCAAGTGTGCTTACAAGAACTAAGCTTGAGCTCGCGTTGGAGGCCAAGGGTGTAGCAGTTGGACCAGTTATTACTGCCATGCAACTTACTTGAGTTATCATTTGTATTTTCCGAGCCATAAATTTGCAACGGGATGACTGTGCAATTTCCAAGTTAGAAATTTAATTCAATCTTTCAACCATCTTTCTCTCTCTCTCCACCCTTATTTTTCATTTAAGCAAACAAAAAAGGCAAAATAATAATAATAATAATAATAATTTGAAGGAAGAAAGAAACCTGAATATCTTACCCTAATCTGAATCTAAAAAATCAATTAGAATTAATGAGAGTAACAGTTGGCAACTATTTTTACAAGTTTAGGTCAAGAAGAACTTAAAATAACTAATAATAATAATGTTAAATTTTTGCCTTTGATTTTGATGATGACTTAAAATGTTGATGTGGATCAATTTTTTGGCTACAAGTATATATTCTCAATCTAAAAACTATCAAATATTATTTTTAAATAAATTATAATTACTATTTTTATTAAAAATAAAGTTTTTTTATACTAATGTGTACTGCATGGTAAAAAAAGTTTAAGTTGGTATGCCCAGCCATCACTGAAAGCACGACAAAATAAAATTTAATTACAAAATTTTAATATGTCAATTGTAATTAAATCGACTTTTAATAAATGTACAGAGATTCAACCTATTGAAATTAATATAAAAAAATTAAATGGCATAATTGAGATAGTAGGTGGATTAAATTCAATTTCAAATTTAGACATATATCTAATTTGTTTAAAGCATAATTTATTAAAAAAGTCTTTAAACTATTTAAAAAAATTTAAATAAATTTTTATATTTTTATATTTTCAATTAAATCTTTATATTTTATTTTAAATTAAATAAATTCTTAAAACTAATAATTAACTTAATCAAAATATCATTTGTCATTTTACGTCATGAGATGATAATATGATATATTAACGTATCATAATTGATAATGAAGTAATAAGTTAATTTAGTATAACAACATGATCATGTAACATTTTTCACTCTTTTTATTAATACATCAATATAATGTATGTCAATAACATATAGATATATAATGATAAATTATATTTTAAATAATGATAATTAATCAATTATTAATCATTTCAAAATAAAAATATAAGATTTTAATTAAATGTAATAAAAATAAAAATTTATTTAAAATTTTTAAAATAATTTAAGAGTTGATTTGAGTAATATATTTTTATTTTTAAAGAATAAAAAAAATCAAAATTTTTGTCTAATAGTAATTTTAGTAATAAAAACAAATTATATTTATTGAAAGGTTTGAAACAGAAGAGACAGTAAGGTAATGCGATCTGCCAAAGACCTAATAACTGCACGGTGGCATTGTAAGAAACAGAAGGTCCTGTTATCTTCACATGATTTGGTTTAATGTTTTATAAACTGAATTTGACAAGCCCCATACTATAAGTCCGATAGCAGCCCGATATTAGACAAAATGTAACCCTTTTTCTTCTTCCGAAACAACAAAAAACAAAAAATTACTAATGCATGATTCCGAATTTAAAAAATAAAATTTAAATTTTTTCCTCAAATTATTAAAAATAAAAATAGACAAAAAAATAAAGAATTTAACTTTTTTTTAAAAAAAAAAAGGCATAACAATTTCATCATTCATCATTTATTCATTTTCCTTCCACCATCTACGCCATATATGTATATATCTTGCCAGCCAATAATTGTCAAACCAGAAAAAAAAATTATAAAATTCCTATTTATATACAAAAGCTATATCGCAGCAGCTGCAACACAAAATCCTCCTTGCAAATTCATTTGTTCCCGATTCACCTGATCACAAGTTAAACCAAAAATATACATTACCCAAAATGCTCACAACTGAAATAAGTTAGGAGGAAAAACAAAATTGAGCAGAGTCATATACCCAGAATCTAGAGGGCTACGAGCGCAATGGTCCACTATTGTAGTAGAAACGACCTTGCCAATGCCAATGCCACTAGTATGGAAGAGCAGTGAAGACTAGCCATTATTTGAGCAAAAATAATACGCCACTTTGGAAACATCAAAAATAATCGCAGGTGAGAAAATTGACCCAGATTGCGTTGTTCAAGAATATACACTGGGTCTCTTTTGGTTAGTATTCCCAGCTCATGATAAGTCGAAAGATCCTTGCCCTTCGCTGATTGCATATACTAACTTCTTATACATAATTTCCTGTTCAGGCAGCAGCCACCACCAATGAGAAAAGGATGATGATAATACAAGGATAACAATGAAATAATATAACATCACAATCATGAAATATTATTGTAACTAAACCATACCTTGGTAGAATATGGAGGAAGCTTCAAGTAATTAGCACAAGTCATGACACTGGGCAAGTCATCATCTGCTGATTCTGAGGGTCCAGTTCCATTGGAAGCAGCAGCACTTGCAGAAGATGAATGCTGCTTTCAGACAGACAAGCAACAACCATGAACATTAACATACAGAAAGAGGATACGTCTAGACAGAGTTGAATGAAACATATTATTGTGAAGCTAATAATAGTAATAGTGATAATGAGCAGACATCATTAACAAAGTGCAACTTCGCATTGCTGCCCTAGCAATACACCATGAAGAGAATAACAGGATTATTCTCAGAGATAAATAAAATACAAAGATGCTTTGGCCTAAGTCAGAACCTTGCCAATAGCATCCAAAGTACAATTCTCTCTATAGTAGTGATTTTCAAAACATTGGAGCCAGTGCATGTAAAGAAGACACAGTCATTGTATGCACTTTAAAAAACAGACATAAATAAATCAATTTGTAAACCCCATTTCCAACATAATTTCAAAATCATTCTTAAAAAATTCCTCAGCTGCAGGACATAATATCTCTACGTCAACATGTAAAAGAGAAGACACCTTGATAGGAACTTTTTCAATCTAACTCTGTTACCTTTCTCACAATGGTCAGCTTTGGATTCAGCACTGCCAGACCGCCAGGTGGGAGTCTGGGTGCACCAGTGACAAATTGGCAGAAAGCCCGCTGCTGCTCTGGTGTAAATTCTCCCATAATTTGGAGTAACTAGGAAATCACAAAACCACAGCATCAATGTGGATCAAATAAGAATTATCCCAGTATTTAGATTTCAGAATACTTAAATAGAAGTGTTATGAAAGAAACATACATTCACAATTGCAGGGCTCTTTGCAGTATATCCATGATCAAATTTAATGTGATCAGCAAGTGTCTCAGCCTGCAAATTAGAAGTTAAATTGTCAAAATCACAAAGGTGCACAAACAATTCTAATTAAAGAAGCTAGCAAGACTATCATGCAATTCAAGTGTCACATTACCTCCCACAACTCTCTGCGACCACACAGCAAATAGTCCAACTCTTGGGAAGTAAATATTTGTAATGAGGCAATATCAAAAACCTGCTTGTTAAGTAACGGATATATTAACATTGCAATGAATCCCAAAAAGGCTCCTTACAAGAAGAAAATAAAAAAAAATCTGCGATGAACATCAACTTGTCTTGTTAAACAAGAAAACTCAGGATTAGGAAAACAATTTGACCTGATTAAATCCTGCCCTAAATGCCTCCATCTGCCGCATAATTCCAGTCTTGACAGTCGCATCAACCACCAAAGATAAGTATTCCTCTAAGTTATTGATATCCACCTAATGTATTAAACAGAATGTTAGAATGATCTATCGATCAAAAATAAAGGGGGGGGGAAAGGAATAGAACGAAAGTTGAAGATATACATTTTCATCCCCTGGCTTCAAGATGTAATCTGGATAGCCTGGAAGTGTAAAATCCAGAAAGAGATCTTCTATGGGGGCCCCACGGAAGCGTAAATCAGCAATCACATCACTATTGTCACCACCCATTGATTCTAAATACTGCTTTCGACAAACAAGAAGGTGCAATTCTTGCAAGGTTTTCCCAAACTCAGTATCAAAAGACAGAATATCATGCAAATCAAGCTCCTGCAATGGATTATAAAATGCATCTTTAGCCAGAAAAGTAAAAAATCAATTGTGGCAATAGTAGGTATTTTATAGGCATTTAATCTAAGCTTAAAGAAGATTTATGATGTTCCACAAGTTAAACAATGCAATCAGCTTACTTGACCAAGCACAAGTTTATAAAATGGTGTTGACAGAGGCAGGTCTAAAAGCCGTCCATCTTGAAGAGCTTTAGCCATCACACGTCCAACCAGCCGGAAATATTCAATTACTGTACAAAACTGGCCACCTTCAGAAGCATCAACATTTGGTGGCCAAGGTCGAGGGAACAACCCCAGAGGAGCTTGTATTATATCTCCCTCAATAGTAGCAGAACCAGCAGTTTTTCCATTTTTCTCTTCATCTCCATCAATTTCCATTACTGACTTATCCCACGTAGAATTTGACCTCCACATTCCAAGTCCAACCTTTTGCAAGTCATGACTTAAAAGTGTATAGAACTCCAATGTTGGACCCAATCCAGTGCCAACTTCTCCAAAATATTCAACTTCAAGCACAGCTTTTTGGCTAGAATACATCTCCATTACTTTTGCAGCAGAATCCAAGATGCGGTTTCGGGAGACACGAACTTTCTGCCGCTGTAACCTCCCAACCCTCACCTCTCTTTCATTAGTTGATCCATGGCCGTCAGCACCCTGCTGCTGCTGAAGACGATATAATGCACGAGACAACCCAAAGGCAGTTGAATAAAAGTATTGCCTTCGTGTCTCAAAAGGAAACAAAAAGGGGCATGCCTTTGTCAACTGGTAACACCAGGAAGGCAGGCTTCCACTGCAGAGAGCAAGGGCATCCTGTATTTGCCGAGCCAGTTTTGGAGTGAGCTTACCATTTATAAATTCTTCATAAGGAACTTTAGTACCAGTGGTACTCAACTCATCCAGATTTGAAATTTTTCCCTCAGCAAAATTGTCAGAAACTATCTGAGCTCTTAAACGAGGTGCAAGCTGATTCAAACCCTCTAACACACGCAACAGTGCCAATATATTATAAGTAGGATTAGATCTTTCCAGATCACAAGGAAGTTCCCCTTGCAAGATGCTATCTAAAAGTGACATTCTATGAGTTTGGGGATCGGAATTGGAGTTGGAAGAGCCAGATTTAGTAGATTTAGATGCTGCAGCAGAACCTGATCCCCC